TCGCTCCTGCCCCTGGTCTGCGCTCTGGCGCCCGCTGCCCTCGCGGCCGCCGCCAGTCGGCTCCTCCCACAGGCGCCGCGGGGCTCTCGAGGGCGTCGGCCCGAGTTCGCGCAACGTCACAAGGTAGACGAGGAGGATGAGGAAGTAGAGGAGGAGGAGGAGGAGGTGGAGGAGGAGGAGGAGGAGAAGGAGGAGGAGGTGGAGGTGGAGGTAGAGGAGGAGGAAGTGGAGGAAGTAGAGGAGGAGAGAGGAGTTGGTTTAGGATGGTAGAGGAGGAGGAGGAGGAGGAGGAGGGAGGGGGAGGAGGAGGAGGAGGAGGTGGAGGAGGAGGAGGAGGAGGATTTGTTTTCCTCTGCGAGCCAGTGGGCAGGACCGAGGGCGGCAACAGTTAGCCGACATGCGCACAATATGTGCGACAAACAAGACCGTGCATGGCTGACCAACTTGTCAGGTCAAGCACAGTCCTCACAAACAGATCCAGAGTCCACATCCGTCGGCCTAGCGAGCGGGGCCTCGTCCGCAGATGGGGCGATGGCCGTGTGGATCTGGCGTAAGGCTACGACCTCGGCAGCGGGCCGAACGGAGGCAGCCTGCACGATGACGCGCGCCCAACGCGAACAAAAAGAGATGTTGGGGCCCAGAACCAAAGCTCAAGGGCCACAGCAACATCAGACGAGCCACTGTCAGGATGAAGTCACCCCCGTGCTCGGGCCAAGAAGACGCGCACCCTAGGTGTGCATGCTCCTTCCCCCAGAAGTGGGGTGCCTGACACGCGTGCACGACGGACGCACGCACAACGAGACCGCACACAACCAAATCAAAGAAAAAGATTCGACCACCCACAAAAGGACGACGAGCCCACAGTCCCTGGTGCAGCAAGCGCCAGGACGACCGTCGGACTCGTCCCAGATGTGGGGTAGAGCACGGGTGCCTGCCAAAAGGGTCAGCCGCATCGGGCCGTGCTAGAACAGAACGAGACGGCGAACCCTCGCCACTGGGAAGAAACGACCACCCACACAAGGACGACGAGGCCAGAAACCCCTGGTGCAAACAGCGCCAGGACGGCTGCCAGACTCGCCCCAGATGTGGGGTTTAGCACGGATGCCTGCTAAAAGGGTCAGTCGCATCGGGCCGTGCAATCAAACTACACTGTCTGGCGCCTGTGGGGTTCTCCCACGTGCCATTTCACGTGCCTGGATGCGCGCCAGAACCGCTAGCATCCCAGGCGTCTGCACCAGTCCCTCCATCCCGAAGGCAGGCCGAGAGACCTCTGGGGGAGGCGGGGTGGTGGCAGCATAACAAAGATAGTTCACTCCTCTTCGAGAAGTGGACGAAACACGATCATCCTCGTTCCTATAGTGATGGTGGAGGCCAGACATGATCCTAGGGAGGGTCGTCTTAGCCCCTGGAAGCTTCTTGCAGATACATTCTTGACCGAGCTTGAAGCATCGGCGGGACGTGTACGCCCCGCACGTGGTACAAAACATCATGCTAGATACTTTCTGTTTGCCCGTGACGAACGTGTGCGCAAGGGTGTGGCCCTTGGTGAAATCCAGAACCCCCTTCCAAGTACGATTCGGCCCTCGGCAGCCCAGTTCAGGCCGGCTGTCAGGGTCACTACTAAACTGAAGGCATCGCAAACACCTGGCACGGCCCCCATCGAGATTTTCCCAGTGGTGCCAGCCTCCAGCCCGTAAAAATTTACATCTCGGTCCAGACTGGGGCCGCTCGAATTTCTCGACGGGGAAAACGCACAAAACTTTGGCCATGACTTTGGCCGCGAACACTAATGTATCAAGATCATCGCTAACTTCTTGGTACACCGCAGGAGAGGCCTGAGGGTGGAGGAGGAGAGCTTGCTTGGCTAAAGCATCCGCAGCTTGGTTACCTATAGCGATCCTTCTCTCAGGCCCTGGGAGACTATCGATAACCGCTTGAGAGCGGTGGGCTGGCGTGTGAATAACCTTGTACTCATGGCCCCGTTTCTCATGCAGAGAAGCCCCACGGCGCATTCCCGCGTAGCGGTGTTTTCTCGAGATCTGATGCTGCACTGGCGTGTTACACAACTTAGTGACGGTGGCACAATCAGAACAACGATCCCCGCTGTGTTCAACAAACAAAGGCACCAGCGCCATGGCTTGGCGCTCAGCCGCCTGCGGGGTCTGCTGGAGCACGTCCAGCACCGTTCCTTGAGCATAAGCAACAATCGACCCTGACGGGCCAAAAAAGACCCAAGCGAAGGCGGCCCGAGACAAATCCCTCACAACATGACGAGCACAAGAACCGTCCATACAAATGTCCAGGCCCTGGAGGTCAATGGAGTCCCAAACAATTTCCTGCCCCTCGGGATTGAACAGCTTCGGGTTGGGGTCGGAGCTGGGCGGAGGGAGCTTCGACCCTGGATGGTCCATCTCGAGCTCGTCCCAGAAGCAGTGATCCGCGCTCTCGGTCGCCCCCAGCAGCCATTCGGGATGATCAACGGCCGCATCTTGCCGAGGGCCTGGACAGCATCGCGATGCTGACATTTCCAGACGCGGTGCCTGACTCCATCAGGCTCGCCACAGAGTGGGCACCTGCCATCACAGAAGTAGCCTGCAGCTCGGGCTCTGGCTCTGGTCCAGAGTCCTTCACAAAACGCAGTGGTGACAAGGTAGTTTCCCTCGGGGCCAACTTTTTGGACTCGGGGCACAGCAATCGGGCCAAGGGTTCCGTGCAAACACGCGTCCCATTGAAGGGCGGCAGGAGCCTAGCCGAAACTTTCTCATGGTGTCGTTGAGTGCCGAGCTGCAGCAACTGACCTAGGAGGGCAGGCGAGTTATACCCAAGATGCACGACTCTATCAGCGTCGTCGAGCCACGTGAGAGCAGAAACACTACGCCACCCACGACAGATGCATTCTCTGGATGGGCCCTCGCGAACTCTTCCAAGTGACTCCTTCATCCATGGGAACAGAACACCACATCTGACATATTTCCTTAATGTTGTAGTACGAGGAGGAGGGGGAAGTGAGGGCAGTCCAAACGATGTGCGCCCAGTGCAACGCTTGCGCAACCCCCGCCCTCCAGACAGGGTCCCCCAAGAGCGCTAACTTGGCGTGAAACGACACCCCGCGGTGATAAGGAGGTTTGTAGGTCAACGCGACTCTTTGAGCTTCCTGAAGCTCAGTGTCGGTTAACCCTCCGACGGCAGCACCAAACGTAGCAGCAGGGGCAGCACCCGCAACCTAGATCTTGCCAATCCGCCCCTTCTGGCGAGGCAAGCGGTCACGGTACCTTTTTAAAAAATCTTGTGCCGAGCGTGCGTCTGCCCGAGAAGCTGCCGACGTTTCCACCCCGCGTTTTTGGCCCCCCGTCGCTGTCCTGTGGCCAGGTCCGTGCCCAGCACCACCGCACTATTGGTGACGGTGCCCGCCATGCCGCCGAGCAGCCTGCCGAACTTACGCGCAAGGGGCAACGAGCTAGCGAACGTGGTAAGCTTGTCCGCCTGCAACTGCACCTTCAAATAATCGCGAAAGATAATGTACATGGCTGCTGCAGCCCTGCACATTCGGTCGAGAACCTCGGTCTCGGACTCACCTTCCGTAGTAAGGGAGTCGTCGTCAACATAGCTGCTCAGGGGGACCAGCGGGTGCTCCAAAGTGAACTGGTCGAAAGCCTCTATGCTATAAACCTTGACAAACAAATCATTGAATATGTCACCCGCTGGCAATCCCGACTGGGCAAAGACTGGGGCGTCGGCGCACTGCGCACCCAGTCTCAAAAGCCTGGGTCCCCGCCAGAAATTGTACGTTGTTTTGACAATCACAGGGTTAAAGCCGTGGGCCAAAGCGCGGTTCTTCAACAAATCCAAATCGAAACTCTCGTAGTATTTGGTCCCATCCCAAATCACCCCCACCGTATGCTTGCCAGAATGCGCCGCCACCTCGGCCCTGGTAGCCTGATGCCACACGGCATCTTCAGCACTACGAACTGGACCGACAGCCCAGAAACGTCGGGGGAAATTATCATTAAAGCTGAGAAGCTCGGGTCTTCTCAGCCGCTCCCAAACGCGCACGGGCCCAGCACACAACAAGATGGGTCGAAGCCCCCCTTTCGGTTTTTCGAGGAGGGGGAAGAGCATCCCAAACAGCTGCTTGGGAAAGAGCCCTAAACTTTCCACAGCTTGATACAACGCCGACAAAGTTTCAAGAGCCGCGTCCGACACCAGAGACAACTGACGAGGACGCACTCCATCTAAAGATTGCGCCGTGAGAGGAGAGAAACTAGCACTGGCACTGCGAATAGCTTCAGGCGAGGCCCTCGGCAGGTGAACACGATCAGGGACATCAACGAGCGCTGGCTTGTCAGACGCATGCCAAAAACGAGAAAGCGCGTCACGCTGAGCCCTCAGCAGAGCCTGAGGGTCGCTACTGAACTGACCTGGGGACGACTCGACAACTGTGGGAACCCACTTCTGTTTCAATTTAGTGAGCCTGTGCATGGCCCTAGCACCCCCTTTCAACGCCTTCTCCTGCCATTCATCCCATGAGTCCTGCTTGGCCTTCCCGAGGCCCTTCTGCGCTGCTACGCGGTCGTCCTCCCACGAGTCGAGGTACTCGCGCAGCTCTTGCACCCATCGCTCGAGCGAGGACGGAGGCCACTGCTGCAAGAGAGTCCTAGCCGACTGGACCGTCGCATCCAGCCTGGCAGACAAGCCCTCACCAGGGCACGGTTCATTGAAAAGTTGCTGCACCTGCTGCGCGGTATCACTCGCCAAGCTCTCGCCCCGCACAGGGTCCGTCGCAGCGTCTTGCGCGGCCGCCAGCAGCCGTGTCGCCACGCTTAGAGTCTCTGAAACATGCTGCGATAACCAAACCCATCCGTGGCTAACCAGCTCGGTACAAGCACTTTTAGGGGTAGAAAAGATGGGGACCCAAACAGCTTTAGGCGTCACACCTTTGCGCCCCTTATCCTTAATCGGCACCCCCAGAAAACTTTCCAGTTCAAGCTCCAAGCAATTAGAAAACGCCTGCCACGCCTTCGTGAGGAGTTCCCAAGCGAATCCAACGGAGCTCTCGAGGGCAG